ACAAAACCCCACATTTATTATCTTGTTCTTTAGAGAAGTTTGTTGATCCTGTAGGTGTTTGAAATGATTTTTATAGCATATATTAGAATATTAGCATTAAAGCTGATTGTGAAGTACTAAACTGTCCTCCTTTCTATAGGTGAGAAGAAGCATGTTTACACCAATGCCAAAAAGCAGATGCTAATATCTCTTGCTCCTCCTGTTCTTACCCTTCATTTAAAGAGATTTCAGCAGGTACCCTAGTGTTCCCTAAAACTTGTTTTAAATATTGAATACCTTCTCGGTTGTTGTCTAAACACATTATTATGCTTCTTTGATTTTTAATTCTAATTTTAAGCAAATAGGAAGGTAAAAGAAAAAAATTGAATAATTATGTGTATGTTCAAGTAGAGTATAAATACATGGAGGGTTGTTTTTTGTTTTTTTTTTGTCAGTCCTGGGGCTTGAACTCAATCAAGGCCTGGGCACTGTCCCTGAGCTTCTTTTGCTCAAGGCTAGCACCCTACCACTTGAGCTACTACTTGGCTTTTCTGCCTATGTGGTACTGAGGAATCCAACCAAGGTCTTCTTGCATGCTAGGCAAGCACTCTACCACTAAGCCACATTCCCAGCCCTACATGCAGGCCTTTTATTTCAGGCAAAGAAAAGACCAGTTTACTACCAATGTTTTACACTTAGAAATGTATGAATTTGTTTTGACTATGGTATCTTATTTTTACTAACACTTCATTGAAAAAAATAACTTGAAATTTAATCATTTTGGTGACCAGATTTTTGTGGAATTGTTGGTAGCAGTTACAATTTTCAAATTCTTATATTTGGTACATGCTTGACAAACTGAATTTTCTCTAACTTCACTAAGCTAGAGGCCAAGGATACATTCCATACAAAAGAATTCTGTTGCTGAGTCTTAGGCACTCAAAACATCTGGTCTACTTTGGCTTTTCTGTGTGACCAAGGTAGACAGTGCTCTCAAGGGAGAGCAGTTAGTGTCTTTGGGGTGTATGTGTGTGCATGTAGAACAATCTGTTGATTAGACTATTGGTACCATTTGGGCATTGGAGGGGATACAATTTATATAATATGTACAGCTTTGCGAGAATTCACCTGCTATCCCCCTCTTCCAGGCTGGTTTTAACCTACGCAAAGTTAACCGACATATAAAGTTTCCAGAAGTCTTAGATATGGCTCCTTTTTGTACTGTTAAATGTAAGGTAGGTAAAAGTAGTCTCTTAACAGAAAAACACTTTAGAGAAATCAGTTTTTAACAAATACTCTACAGCATCTCATACTTTGGAGTTGATAATTATTACTTTGAATGGGTATTTGATCACTCTACCTTCAAAATTTTCAAGATCTATATTGGATCAGATGAATTCAAATGAACCTATTTATAGTTTCCAATAACAATTTTGATTTCCTATTATTATGGCATTGTCTTGGTATCTCAAGGTACAAAATTGAAGGTAGGCAAATGTACTGATCGGTGACCTCAGTTTGTCTATTATTTAATTGTGCTACAACTGAAGGTTGAACACAGGGGCTTGTGCTCTTGCTTAGTTTTGTGAAAGATTGGTAGTTTAGCCACATCCCCACTTCTGGCTTGTTAGTTAATTGGAGCTACAAGTTTCTTAACTATTCTACTTGGGCTAATATCTGAGAATTACTGTTTTAGGCCTTTCTGAGCAAATAAATCCATGAGACTCTACTCTCAATTAACCAGCAAAAGGGGGAGCATGGCTCAGGTGGTACAGCACTAAGCCATGAATAAAAACATTTCCAAGAATACAAGCTTGGAACAAGTTTTTGCTTTGTGGTTGTTTTTGTTTTTTGTCTTATCTGTCTTTGGGAGGGTAAGTGGGGGCACAGAAATGGAGGGACAAAAGTGAACAAATGAAGCAGTGGTATTCATGACATTGAACTCTACAACTTGTGGGTGGGGACTAGTGGGAAAAACTAGGAGAGCAAGGCAAGAGGTAACATTGTCCGAAAGGAAATGTACTCATGACCTAATCCATGTACTGTTAACACCCTTCGTACATCACCTTTATAATAACAATTTTAAAAATCTTTAAAAAGAGTTGTACAAGCCTGGACTTAAAGCCCCCCCCCTTGTGTAATTTGTCTCGCCAATAACAGTTGTGTGAGATTAAGACCTTACTTTGGACTTTGTTCATTTTTAAAGAATGTTGCTGAAGAAAACACAAGAGTACTATATTCCTTATATGGCGTTGTTGAACACAGTGGTACTATGAGGTCGGGGCACTACACCGCCTACGCCAAGGCAAGAACTGCAAATAGTCAGCTGTCTAATCTTGTTCTTCATGGTGATATTCCACAAGGTAAGCTATCCTGGAATGTCAAGCATTTTAGCAAATTACAGCAAAACTGAAAAATAGTGATTTGAATCTTTTCATTTGTACTTATTTTTCACATTTCTTCTTGATAGATTTTGAAATGGAATCAACCAAAGGGCAGTGGTTTCACATCAGCGATACACACGTGCAAGCTGTGCCTACAACTAAAGTACTAAATTCACAAGCATACCTCCTATTTTATGAGAGAATACTGTAAGCAGAAAGTGCTTTCTCTGGAATAAATTTATGGCTTTTATACTGGCTGTAATAATAACAATAAAAAATTAAATCTATAAATCATGTTCACTTATGTAAATGAAAGAAGTCATGTATTTAAATATTGAAGGGGAAAATACTTAAAAATTAAGTGGTTTTGTACTGTCATAATGGTTTTTATTCCTGCTTTATTTCTGGGAATTTAAGTCTTCTGTTTAATGTGTCAGGGTGGTGCATCTTGACACATGAATAAACCCATTTACTCCCAGATGTGTTTTATTACTAAGTTGTACTAGTTTACCCTATTGGTAACACATGAAAACGTGAAACTGATTATATCAAGTGTTTTTCATGAGCCAGATATTTGGCACTTAAGACGTCAGCAGTGTTAACTGGGTAAATGTGCCTGAAACACTCTGCCATGCACCTGATACTAAGTCCCCCTTTATGCCAGCATGCCAGGTAAGGCCTCTGGATGTCTTTAGTCCTAAATCCTTTCTCATTCAGGTCAGCCACTGTGGAGTTACATGGCACAGAGGACAATGATGGTAACTTCTTCAAAAGTTCTCTGCTAGTATCTGACAAGGCAATGGTTGGTATTTCCTTTGCTGTACTGATAAGCATTCCAACCATTGAGTGGGTCTTAGATGTTTGGTAACGGTAGGATCTGAACTCAGGCTTTGTGCTTGCTAGGCAGGCACTATCCCTTGAGCCAGCCACTCCAGCCTTTTCGGTATTTCACAAGGGTCTGGTTTCATTCCTCAAAGGACCTGACTCTGATCCCTTCTGCCTCCTATGTCGCTAGGATTACAATATTGAGCCACTAACTAGCTAACAATTCTATTTAATAGGGCTGGGAAGGTGGCTCAGTGGTAGAGTGCTTGCCTTGCATGCCTGGGGCCCGATTCCTCAGCACCACATAAGCAAAAAGAAAAAAGCCAGAAGTGGCACTGTGTCTCAAGTGGTAGTACACTAGCCTTGAGCTGAAGAGCTGAGGGACAGCGCCCAGGCCCAGAGTTCAGGCCCCATGACTGGACCCCCCAAAAAAAAATCTACATAATAAATTCAGAGTATTATGTTACAAGGCTAACCTGAGTAGAATTCTAGAAACCCTTACTCAATCCCTAGCTGGGAACAGTGATACACAACTAGCAACTAGCATCCTAGCTTTGTGGGAAGCTGAGATTGGAATGGTAAGCCAGGGCAGCAGAACTCACCAGTCTTAGTAGATGCTGGACATTGTATTGTGTGTTGTTCTAGCACCAGAAAAGCAGATTGGTTTCAACTGAGGCATGTGCCCAGGCAAAAAGCAAGATCCCATCTCAAAAATAGGCACATCTCAGCAGTAGAGGATGGGCCTAGCAAGCAGAGGATTTAAATTTAAACCTTTATTGCCAACCAAAAACAAAAAGTCCTAAAAATTAACTGGAGAGAGCGAAGGAAGGGGTGACACTGTCCAAGAACAAATGAACTCATTACCTGACTTGGAAAAAAAAAGTAACCCCACTGGGCACCCATGGCACACCGCTGTAATCCTTGCTACTCAGGAGGCTGAGATCTGAGGATCATGGTTTAAAGCCAGCCCGGGAAGCTGAAGAGTTGAGGTACAGCGCCCAGGCTGAGTTCAAGCCCCAGGACTGACAAAAAAAAAAAAAGAACTCCTCTGTATTATTTTTTTTTTCTGTTGTGGGTCTTAAAACTTGGGGCCTAGGTGCTGTCCCTGAGCTCAAGATTAATGTTCTACCACTTTAAGCTACAGCACCACTTCCAGTTTTTGAGTGGTTAGAGCAAAGAGTCTCATGGGCTTCAAACCATGATCCTCAGATCTCAACCTTCTAAGCAGCTAAGATTACAGGCATGAGCCACAGGGACCTTGATTGTGTACCAGCTTTATAGTAGAAAAAAAAATCCAAGCTAATTATTTCTTTGAAGATCAAAGGTTTCAAACACTATTTTACATGGCTGTATGAGTATCAAAAATTTTACTTTTTACATTTTCATTTACTTTTTTCAGTTCTCTCTGATCTTAAGAATGTACATTTGAGAGGTATATTTTTATCTCTTCTACTTTGCCACTACAATTTCTCCCACTGGATCTGGTCATCCCCCAAGTCTCAAGATTTCCAGAGCTGTGAATAAACACTGGAAATCTAGTCTAGGTTCTGGCACTTTTCCCACTAATGGCCAAGACAGGAAACATTTTGGGTGCATTTGCTTGCTCACACAGATACTTAAGCCTGGCATTCCCTTGCAGAAAGCAGCCACTGACAATGTCACTATATATGGCTAAGTGAGTGTTGTGTTCCAGCAACATATTTACAAATACAGACAGGACTGACACATGGGAAATAGACCTCTAATTAACAAAATAACTTGCCTTAAGTCCCATAGCTAATGTGAGTAATAAGCTTGAAGCAGGTCACTCAGTAAGGCTTTAATTGTAACGTTTATTCAGCTGAGGATATAAACACAACATTTCTTAATTTAAGGTAAGAAAACAGGCAATTCCTACACTACGATTATAACGTTCACCTACAGTAAAAATGAAGCCATTCAATCATTTTGGTCATCATCCCAATCTTTCTTCCCACTTGGAGGCTTGGGCCCACCAGCTGGTTTTGCCATGATGATCTGTGTAACAATAGAAAACCACAGAAGTATGCTTAGAAGCTCAATCACTAGAATGAACATTTTTTTACTAGCCTGGTTTAAGACGAAGGATCACCTCAACATAAGCAATTTATTATGTAATGCATTCAAAACACTCTACAGCACAAGGTTTGCTAGACTCTTTATTAGAAACTAAACACCACTTCCAAAGTACGAGGTTTCCTACTTTTTGTGAAAACCAGCAACAAAATCCACACAGATTAATGAGAAACATTTCAAGACATGCATGTTGGTAACTCAGTAAGTTCAATGTCAAAATATTTGCATGCATTTCTGGTTAAGTCAGTGCAGCACCTGATTTGCTATTTAAACATGAAGTTCGTCTTGCCAACCATCTTTATCCCAGTTTCCTTGTGGCTTAGGAGGTTTAGGTCCACCTGCCAGTTTTGCCATTATTATCTAAAGTAGTTGATAAATACAAAGCTTAATGCTATGGTTTCTAGTTCCTTTGGTAAACTAGTCAAACAGCAGGAAGGGCTTATTTATGAAACCAACTACCCAGTTCCCTTAGTAACTTCAGTCTCTTTAGTGTATCTCACAGGTGCTAACTTGACACGTATAGCACTCCCCCTCCTCCCTCAAGCATGGGGCTTGAAACTTGGGGCCTTGGCACTGTCCCTGAGCTTTTCTGCTCAAGACTAATGCTCTTTCACTTCAAGGCATAGCTCCACTTCTAGCTTTTTGGTGGTTAATTGGAGATTAAGATCTCATGGGGACTTTTCTGCCCAGGCTGGCTTTGAATCCTCAGACCTCAGCTTCCTGTGTATCTAGTATGATAGATGTGAGCCACCAGCTCGTGACTGAAATTTATTTTTAAGCAATCATAGGAATCTCTTCTAACACATCTGATACACACACCTCCAGTACTTTTTCTTTTTACATTACTGGTGGTACTTGGGATCCAAACTAAGCTTACATGTGCTAGGCAAGTTGTCAGCCTATCCCTCTACTTCTTTCTAGTAAGTTAATACTGAACAATAATTCCATTTCTGGTCATCAAAGTTCTCCCTTACCCACAAAGTTTGTTTTACTTTAAAACTGACACTTCAGTGCTTAGAAATAAGTCTTCTGATTTTCATGGAGAACTTCTTCAAGTTTAATTTGGCCAAATTTTCACTTTGTCGATATATATTATACCTCAAGCAATTAGGTATAAACAGTTCATTGTCTAATAATTTCATCTAGTTTTGTGAGCAAATGCATTCAACTTTATTAAAAATAATAAGTTCTAAGTACCAAGAATAGCCTTCACTATAAATAATGCAAAAAGGTAGGCATCATATGATCATAAAACTAAAGATTTGTCAATACTGAAACAATATATCATAACAAAAATTAAATGCTTAGGTCCTCCTCACTTCCATGAGCAAGAGATTTCATTTTCCTTAAGGTTTGTACCTACAATATCTACTTAGTAGATGTTTCCTTATTTTCCCATATTAATATCACATATTAGAGCTTACTATCTAGAGAATTTGTATATAGGTATTCCAAAGCTAGAGAACTCAATCAATGAAATTTCTTCTACTTACACTTTGCCAAATGAAAATTACCAAATGTTTCTTTTACTGGACTTCCATTTTAAACCGTGTGTGTAACACATGCAATACAACTTATAATTGGAGGGCCACTTTAACATCTCTAGATGTAATATTCCTTTCATTATAATCAGCATTATTACATTCTACTTCTGAGTACACTATTAAACCATAAATCAATTATTATTTTTAATGTATAGAATTTAACTTTTCACTCACCTGATCCACTCTAAGTACAGTGACTGCAGCATTAGTGGCCAATTTAATAGCCCAGTATTTGCCCAGGTAAGTATCTAAGATCCCAGCTTCCAACATGTCTTTTACAGCCGGAACTTCAGCCTGTCAACACAAAACAATTCCATTCCTTCATTACAAACAAAATCTAGCCAGGGGGCAGTGGCTGCTCACACCTGTAGGACTTAGGAAGCCAAAATCTGAGGATCCAGATCTGAAGCCAGATCAAACACAAAAAGTCCATGAGACTCTTTATCTTAAATAAGCAAAAAGCTTGAAATGAAATTGTGGTTCATGGATAGTGCCAGCCTTCAGGGGAATAGCCAAGGGAGAATTCCAGGCCAAGTTCTAGTCCCTACACTGGCACATAGAAACACAAAATGTACCCCCCTCCCCCACAAAATGTAACAAACCATAAACACCAAAAATCTTTTTTGGTACTTACTGTGGGTCTGAACTCAAGTCTTGTGCTTGCTATGCAGACAACTTTACCATCTGAGCCATCTCCAGCTTTTTTGCTGTTATCTTTGAGGCAAGCTCTTGCCTTATGCCTGGGATGACCAAAACTAAGACCTTCCTATTTATGCTTTCTGCATTGCTGAGATGACAATGTACACCACCAGACCCAGCTTTTTACTGGTTGAGATGGGGTCATTAACTTTTTGCCCCAGGTTGACCACAACCCTCCTGAACTCAACTAGGCTTGGAAGTATGAAGTACCAGACTAGACTTCATTAAAAAAAAATTTCATGTGGAAATACATATACTCAGAAACAAAAAATTTACGTGGTTCCTAAAAACAGACAAGGGATCTCTATAAAAGGCTTTCATTCATACCAGGAGAACCAAATAAACTAAGAACTATTAAGTAATCAACTGCTCCTAAACCAATCTACTTTTTTGGTATACTCGTCTTAGGGCTTGAATTCAGGGCCTGGACACTGTCTTGACTATTGCACTCCAGGCTGGCACTCTACTAGTGTGACAGTTATACACACTTTCAACTTTTTGGTGGTTAGTCTCATGGACTTTCTTCCCTGGGCTCAGGCTTTGAACATTGTTTCTCAGATCTCAGTCTCTTAAGTACCTAGGATTACAGCAGGCTCCTAGCCATAGCTACCTGATGACTTTTACATATAATGCGGTCTTTATTTTTAATTAATTCACAAAACAAAGCAATTTAAGTTCACTATTTTTTCAAATACCTCAATATCTATTCCAACATTTTTATTTCCTTCTTGGTGCACGGCATAAAGTTTAGAGATGACTTCATTGGCCTTAACTCCAGAGTTTTCTGCCAGGGCCCGTGGAATAGCTTCAAATGCTTCAGCAAACTTCTTAATGGCATATTGTTCAAGTCCAGGACATGTCTAAAACAAAATGGGCTTATTACTGTATTTTATTCAAGAAAAGTTTCAAAATAAAGGCAATTTATTCAGAAAAAGCTATACCTCTCCATATGATGTTATTTGTTTGGCCAATTCAATTTCTGTTGCTCCACCTCCAGGTACAAGACGTTTATCCTATTAAGTTGTTAAAGCGAAACAACAAAGTTGTTAAAGAGAAACAACAATCAAAAGTCATTCAGAGACTGTAAAATTCTATCTGAAAGATTTCTATATTCCTTCAGACTGGAGTTTTAATTTTAATCAGGTGTTACTATTCAAGCTCTCATAAACTAACAAAGGTCATTAAGAGACAGTGTGCAATTCTATCTTTTCAGATTCAGGAGTTTTAATTTAAATCAGGTGTTACTACTCAAACTCTCATTATAAACTTGGGGTCTGATCTAAGGGAAAAAAGACCAATATGAAGAATGGTAACAGCCTGGATTTCTCATAGGCACTATCAGATAAAGATAAAGAACAGTGCTTTAGTAGTACTTTAAGTAACATAATCAAAATCAACCATAAAGGTTCCTTCAAAACTGGGAAGGGATTGGGGGTGGGGAGGGAGGATGGGAGGACAGGGATGGTAAGAAAAAATAAATTTAAAATAAATTAAAAAAAAACAGGGATGGGGAACATCTGGCTGGACAATGCATCATCATCTGATGTAAAATGGAATATATGTTTCTCATATGCTTTCTGTAAGCTACTTGTACTGATCATTTTTGGAAGCTGTCTGATTCACCAGCAACTTACACGTAAACATTAGATAAAGTTGGGGGCTGAGAATGTGGTTTAGTCATGGAGTGTTTGCCTACCACGCGTGAAGCCAAATCCTGAGTTCAATTCCTTGGTACTACATAAACAGAAAAAGCTGGAAGTGGCACTGTAGCAGCTCAAGTGGTAGAGTGCAAGCCTTGAACAAAAGCTCAGGGACAGTGCCCAGGCCCTGGGGCCAACCCTCAGGACTGGCAAAAAAAACTGGTAAAGAAAGGAAGGAAGACAAAGTGGTTTGCTTCATATATACTACTCATTTTGAATTCCTGTTTAGGAAGCTAGCAACTGTGTAAGACAATGAAAGTTTACTAAATACAATTGCTAATACAGACCCTTGTGAGAACTTTGAAAGTATTTACACCATCATCCACTGCTCTTTCAATATCATCCATCAGATTGTCTGTAGAACCTCGAAGAACTAAGGTAGAAATGGCACCATCTTCTTTTTCTGTGAGCAAATATGTTTGTAGATTAAATAAAGAAAACATTTCCCAAGTATAACAGTAACATTTTACCAACAATACATACCATGTTTAAAAACCACCACCTGTGTATCTCCAACTTCTGAGAGGTAAACACTGTCACAATGTCCCATTTCTTCAAGGACAGGAGGAGTCTGTAAGAAAGTGACTACTGTAATAAAAGTTCATAGAGGCTCAGATGTCTTATAATATTTTCTAATACATACCAATCTAGGAAGAGCTGTTGCACCAACTGTTTTACACAGTCTTCGGAGATCCCACTTTGAGTTAAGCCTTAAAAAAAACAACATCTTAGAAGTCAATTCTATCATATAGCATTATAGAGATTAAGTAGAAAACCACACCATTCAACATTCCTTCAACTCTGACTCAAGTTTAGAACACACCTAGATTACACTGAGTTCTGAGGCTAAGACAATTTTTCTGGCTCTATGAATGAGTCCATCTAGCCAGCACTGGCCACATCTTAAGTCCATTTTAGCATTATTCTACAAGTAAATCTCTAGGGACTTAAGAGTGCTACAGTACCAGAGAACTGGTGTATTTATAGAACACTCTCGCTTTACTTTATAGAATCATAATTTCCAAGTAAGAGTACTGATTTACTGAACACATAAAACTTAAAAAGGTACCAGATCACGTGAGGTAGACATAAGTTGTCTGTCTAGTGCCCATATAAGTGTTCACAGATTAAAAGGCACCTTTCTAACTTCACACACTATAGACCCAACAGGCAATTCACTAGGCTTTTATCTGATCTTTTGAAAATGCTTTGTGCCTGCAATGCTTTTATATCTCACAGCTTAAACATACATAAGGTTTCTCAGAGACATTTTCCTATCACTCTAGAGTAAGTCCTTTTGCTGTCCGATCTAATATCTTACATGACCCTTCTACTGGTGTCCCATCAGTTTGTTGAATTTATTTAGTGCTTCAATACTTAAAAAACACTTCTAGTACAGTTAGTAAAGTGAACGTCTTACCTCACCAACATGATATTATATTTATTTGCATAATGGAGAGCCATATCAGCGACTTTGCCACCTGTTACTATGACATTTGCACCAGTATCTGCGATAGCTTTGACTTGTGCATCCATGAGATTTTCTTCCCCTTTACTAAAATTCATCAATTCTTCAGCAGTCTTTATTAATACCGTTCCCTGGTAAAACAAAACACTTTCTTTAAAACGAGGTTAGTGTTTGAAGTTGTAAGATAGTTTTATTGATAAAATTTAAGGATCTGGGAGAAACATAAAAGTTTGCATGTATTATGAAGCAGAATAAAAAACTGACATAAGTTATATTTTTTGCTGCTAAGGTATCTCATCTCCAAACAGATGAATTTGCTCTTTGACAGAAACTAGGAAAAAAAGCTGGAAAACTTATTTTAGGCATTTCAGGCAAGGATCTATGTGGATTTTGTCTTTCACAAAAACAAGGCAGCATCATCAAAACAGCTACTTTGTGGTCCTCTAATTTTTCCTAAAATGTGGACTAAACAATCACTCATGTCCCCAATGCTTCAAGATGTTCAAAATCAACAACTGGACCAGGATGAATGGTTCATGCCTATAATTCTAGCTACTTAGAATATTGTGGTTCAAAGCCAGCAAAGGAGAAAAGTCTGAAAAAATTTCATCGCCAACTAACCAGCAAAATGTCACACACTGGGGGGGAGGATTGGGTGAGGGGGAGGCTGGGAAGGGATGTGAAGGGTAAACAGAGGAGGCTGCAATGCTTGATAAGAAATGTATGCATTATCCTGCCCATGTAATTGTAACCCTTCTGTACAGTATGTTCACCAAAAAAAAATTTAAAAAAAAGTCACACATTGTACAAACGTTAAGAGTGACAACTGAGCAAGAAAGCTGGGTAACAGTACAAAGCTCTTCAAGCCCCAATCTTGTACACACACACACACACCCTCCCCCCCCCCCAACAATTTGGATTTCAGGAATTATGTTGATGAGGGAGGGATCACGGTTCAAAGCCAGCTTGGGCAGTAAAGTCCGTGAGGCTCTTATCTCCAATCAACCACTAGAAAACCAGAAGTGGCATTGTGGCTCAAGCGGTAGAGCACTCTCCTTGAGCTGAAGAGCTGAGTGACTGCGCCCAAGCCCAGAGTTCAAGCCCCACGACCAACCAAAAAACAAAAAAAGCCTACCATACACAGAATGTGTATTTTTTCTCTTAATTGCTAAATGTTGACTGAGCCCAGTTTATCAATAATACACCACATTAATATTTCAAGTTTTGTATTTAGTAGTTGAATTCGATATTGAAAATATAAATGTGGGGCTGTGAAGGTGGCTCAGTGGCAGAGCGCTTGCCTTGCATGCCTGAAGCCCTGGGTTCAATTCCTCAGCACCACATAAGCAAAAAGAAAAAAGCCAGAAGTGGCATTGTGGCTCAAGTGGTAGAACGCTAGCCTTGAGCTGAAGAGCTGAAGGACAGTGCCCAGGCCCAGATTTCAGGCCCCAGGACCGGACCCAAAAATAAATAAATAAAAAAAAATATAAATGTGAGTCCAGCACCAGTGACTCATACCTAATAGCTAATTCAGGAGGCTAAGATCTGAAGTTCCCGGTTTTAAGCAGGCCAAGGGAAAATTCTTATCTCCAATTAACCATCAAAAAAAAGTTTATCTGTGAGTTAAGTGACAGAGTGCTAGAAATGCTATCTTTGAGCATAAAAAGCTCAGGGACATCGCCCAGGTTCTGAATTCAAGCCCCAGGACTAGCACCAGAAATGAAGCAACCCAAATGCTTACTTGTATGTTTGAAGTCTACATACCTTAGTCTCTGTTATCATACCATCAAAAGGACAAGAGTACACTGCTATTTTTGCATCTTTGACAGATGTTACATCACCTTCAGTTTCCTTCTTAAAAACCATACCATGCAATACTGAAGAGGAATAGATACCAGAGCCCTAAGGAGGTAACACCAATATCATTAGGGATTGGTACTTCTGTATATCCAAAAACATATTTTTCCAAAATAAGAACACCAAGCCTTGGGGATATAGGGAGGATGATAAACACAAACCATCCAGTTCAAGTTAGGAATCACAGTGGAAGTGAACCACTAGGAAACATTGTACCATTTATTCATTTAATGACCAAGTATTTGGGGCAATTATATTTGGCTAAATTGTCAATACTGGAAACAGAACAAAGCAAATATTCTGCTCTTACAAGTCTGAAACTTACGGGGGGAAGGCGAGAAATAAATGTATACAGAAAAAATACATACAACACATATCTACATATACACATCTCCTATGTTTTTATATGTAAATATACATATATAAATACATATACTTCTGCAAACCAGATTCAACTACACTATTAGGTCAATGTACAACATCACATCAATTACGCTTTACCATATAAAACTTAAAAATTTCACCAAAACCACATTTTAGTATTCTAGTTAATATTACATTGTGGGATTTGTTATTACAGAGCAAGAAGTCAACTTCCATCCCATATACAAAAAACGCAAAAAAGTACTTAAGTCATAAGATAAAATTTAGGTTTTGACCAATTTTTCCTTTTTAGGAAATAGAATGGACCTTGGACTGGGGATACAGATCAATGGTAGGCAGGCACGAGGCCTGGGTTCTACCTTCAGGATCATCAAAAGAAACCTACTTACCAGAATTTTACACACTCTGATGTTATCAACATTGAAATTGCCAGAATCAGGAAAAATAGATACTGTTGAGAAAATGAAACATATCAAAATATATTGTGAGACAATAGAGAAACTAAAGGTATTGTAACTTAAAATTTTTCATTTAGTGATATTTACTTACCACATGCCTGAGCAATAAGCTTGGCCAAAAATGCTTCGTTGCCATACTGTTTACTCATTATGGAGGTACGAAGCAGAGATGACACTTCATCAGCATCCCGAAGGTTTTTTGCAGAACAACATACTAAATCGGGAAGAATTTCATGGGCTTTTCTGCAGGCTATTTCATAACCCTCTATGACCTAAATGTCAAGAGCCAAACATTTCTTTAAATGACATAATTTTGACATGAGTTAAAAGTAGCTTACTTTAGTAACTCAGTGGATGTGGACATTTATTTTCATTGTAAGATTGGCAAAAGTAGACCTGCAGAATAATACAAATGGCAGAGCCTAGTGGTTATGAGTATAGACTTTGGTGACAAAATCAAATTCGAATCCTGACACCACCACTTACTAGCTGTAAGATCTTGGGCAAGATTTTTCTGTTTTCACTTGAAATAACAGACCTCACTACAGGACTCTTCATGATAAGACCGAATGTGAAGTACACGTACTACAATGCCTGAGCAGAGAACAAGTTGTCCAATAAAATGATCCTAAACTTTAAGTAGCATATATGAAGACAAGAATAATAAAGTGATCACTTACTTCTGAAACTGACAAGCCAATCCTCAGAAGTTCTTCAGCTAATTCCAGAAGAGCTCCAGCAAATACCAGAACAAAGTTCGTCCCGTCTCCAACCTCTTGTTCTTGCATATGAGAAGCCATTACAATCATCTTGGCAGCAGGATGCTGTACCTGTCATAAAAAGGAATACACCAAGTGAAAAAAAACTGCTACTTACAAAGTAACATAAAATCCTTCATGCTCACTTCTTCAAGGTACACCTTCACTTGACAGCCATCTAGGATACCTAGTGCCAGCATATCACTGAATTTAAATTTACATCCAAACCACTAAACCTAGACATTTGAAACAGACATTACTTAACTTGGTTAAGAGACTCAGTATCAATTTCGCTACAGTTTTTCAGACTCACGATGTAGTTCAGGCTTGATTTAAATTCTGTCTTCCTGTCTCTTTATCTCTAGTATTAGGATTACAGGTGTGTACCATCCTGCCCAGCTACAAGGTAAAGTTGTAGTATTCCTAAGGATTAAACTTCGGAAAATTTCCTGAGGCTAAACATATCCTTCTATTACAAGAAAACTAGGTAAGTGGTTATGTATACCTAAGCACCAGACCTTCTTAACCAGCCTGGTACCATCTATTTTATAAACTCTAACATCAAAATTCAAGCTGAAGGGCTGGGAAGGTGGTTCCGTGGTAGAGCACTTGCCTTGCATGCATGAGGCCCTGGGTTCAATTCCTCAGCACCACATAAGCAAAAAGAAAAAAAGCCGGAAGTGGTGCTGGCTCAAGTGGTAGAGTGCTAGCCTTGAGCTGAAGAGCTGAGGGACAGTACCCAGGCCCAGAGTTCAGGTCCCACGACCAGACCCAAAAAAGAAAAAAAAGAAAAAGAAAAATTCCATCAGAGTAAACAAAACCCACAATTGGGGTGGGGGAAGAACAGAGGACTGAAGTCAGGGCCTGGTACTGCCCTTCTGCTTCTTTGTTCAAGGATAGTGAGGCTCTATCATTTGAGCCACACCTCCACTTCTGACTTTGTTTTGGTAGTTTATTGTAGACTTTCATGCAATCCTCGGAGCTCAGCCTCCTGAGTACCTAGGATTTAAGGTATGAGCCATTGATGCCAGGCAAAAACCAGTCCTGGGGCTTGAACTCAGGGCCTGGGCACTGTCACTGAGGTTCTTTTGCTCAAGGCTAACACTCTATCTCTTGAGCAACAGTACCACTTCTGGCCTTTCATGTTTATGTGGTATTGAGGAATCAAACCCAGGACTTCATGCATGCTAGGCAAGCACTCTATCACTAAGACACATTCCCAGCCCCAAACTCACAATTTTTAAATTAACTACTTCTGTATTACTGTATAATTTACTCAGTGCCACTCTATAAAATGAGACAAATACCTAAAGCCAAGCACCAATGGTTCATGCCTATAATCCTAGCTACTGAAAAAGCTGAGATCTAACAAAGAAGTTCAAAGCCAGCCTGTGCAGGGAAGCTTGTGCAACTCTTATTTCCAATTAACCAGCAAGAAGATGGAAGTGGTGCTCTTACTCAAGCACTAGTCTACCACTCAAGGACAGCACTCAAGTCTTGAGTTCAAGCTCCAAGACTGACACAAAAACAAATCAATTTGGGCACTTGTCTTGCATGCCTGAGGCCCTGGGTTCGATTCCTCAGCACCACATAAGCAAAAAGAAAATGCCGGAAGTGGCGCTGTAGCTCAAGTGGTAGATCACTAGCCTTGAGCTGAAGAGCTCAGGGACAGCGCCCAGGCCCAGAGTTCAGACCCCACAACTGGACCCCCCTCCAAAAAAATCTATTTATTACAATCAACTCTTGCATGAAGAACTTAAGAGAACTGAATAGCTAAAACATTAAACCTAAGGTCACTTTGTTGGGGGAAAAACAGTACTTTGCTAGTTAACCTGAAATAAGTATTGAACATTTCTTGGCTTTGAAAAGAAAACTTGGAAGTGGCACTGTGGCTCAAGTGGTAGAGCACTTGCCTTTTGCTGAAGAGCTGAGGGACAGCACCCAGGCCCAAAGTTCAAACCCCACGACCGCTCCCCCCCCCTAAAAAAAGCAGGGAGAAGTAACTTACTTCCAGCTCTCTTAAAATAGTTGCTGCATCATTTGTCACAAACAATTTCTCCAGATGATTTATAACCATTTTGTTCATTCCTTAGAAGGGAGAAAAAGATCCACTAAAAAAAATATACATTTGTATTTTGTTTCTTACAACAGTATTATAAATACGTGTAACCACCTATTTTTCAGATCTATTTCACAACCCTTGGGCTTCTCTTGTTCACACATCCACATTTCATTCTAATCTCTTATGTCTATTAGGGACATAATGCCAGATCTTGTAACATTTCTGCTGGTTTCTATGCAGTATGCAACTTAATAACAAGAAATATCAAAATACAGCATATATACACATACAAACCCAAAAATAATGTACTAGACAAATTTTATTCCACAAATCTGTACTTTAAAACCAACTATTGGTTGAAGACATCATAAGGAGTGTTTCTCTTCAGTGTCTTTTTTTTACAAAAACTATTTAGCCTTTGTCCTAATGAATATTAAATACGCCAACAGTGTTATTTTGTCTTCTCAATAGGCTAAAAATTAACTTGACTATTTCTGTAGAGTGGCTGGTTAAAAAGCAGAGCACACTGATATACACTTTCAAAATCATATTGTATATACCCTCAAAATCGGTACAGGAAAAAAAAAAGCTAATATACAATTTTTACTCTAGGTTTTAAAACCACGAATGTGGCAATTACCATTGGGTCCATAGGCAGTACGAGTAGTCTGGGAAAGCTCCTTGCAAGCTTGAATATTTCTATACACAGCCTCTTCTAATCCTGAAAAATGCTGCAACACAGGGCAAGGAAACAAGAGTTTTCATTCGCTTCGATCTCCAAGGAAAAGATGGGCGGGGGTGGGGCGTGACTCAAGCCGTAGTGTGCCCAGCGTAGCGGAGACACAAAGCCTGGGATTCTCACACCGCCAAGGGGGAGGAGGGTTAGAAAGCCCACAAGATTGTAAAAAAAACAAATAAATACGCGAGGAAAAACAAGACCCGGGCAGGGGCGGGCGGCTACACTGCAGGTGTCAAGCTGGCTACGGTAGGCTGGGACCAGACCTCATTCAGACCGTCCTACGAGGGGCGCTGACTGGAGCGGCTCACCCGGGCTGGGAACCGGAGAGGGGAGCTTCTCTCGGATCGCCGGCTCCCGGCCCCTCCCCGCAGGCCCCGCAGTTCCCACAGCGGCCTCCTCCCGGCCATGCCCTCCTCCCCTCCCGGCCATGTCCTCCTCCCCGCCAGGCCCTCCTTCCCTCCCGGCCATGTCCTCCCCGCCAGGCCCTCCTCCCCACCAGGCCCTCCTCCCGGCCATGCCCTCCTTCCCTCCCGGCCATGTCCTCCCCGCCAGGCCCTCCTCCCCGCCAGGCCCTCCTCCCCGCCAGGCCCTCCTCCCCTCCCGGCCATGTCCTCCCCGCCAGGCCCTCCTCCCCGCCATGCCCTCCTCCCGGCTATGTCCTCCCCACCAGGCCCTCCTCCCCACCAGGCCCTCCTCCCCACCAGGCCCTCCTCCCGGCCAGGCCCTCCGCCCTCGCCGCCCCGGCGCCCCCCGCGGAGAACTGCGTTTTCGCCCGGCTGGAAACCCGAGTCCCGCAGGCCGGGCCCTCCCAGGTCGCCCCGATCTCCTCGGGACTCCCCCAGGACCAGGGATGAACAGAAACATCCGCGGTGGATCCGCGGTCCGCCGGCCCGGGCACCCCCTCCTTTTCTAGAATCTTCTCTTTCCCCAGGGCCGCACGACCGGCCCGTTCGTAGGCCATTCTGCCCTCCGGCTGCCGCCGACCCCATGCCGGCTCTCCCAGCCCGTCCTCTAGTCCCATCCCTTACTTTAGCTCCCTCCTTGAGCATCTGGGCAAAGCCCGGGGCCTTGGGGACGTGAAGCGCCATGGTTCGACCGCGGGCAGCCGCGCACGCGCTCGCTAGGAAGGCCCGCCGGAAGCGAACGGCGCGCACAGGCTTCTGGGAACGCCCGCGCCGTCGCCGCACGCCCCGGCGTCGCCGCACGCCCCTCCCTCCCCGTCGCTCGCGACTCTCCAAGACGCTTCGCGAGACCGACTAGACGATCTCCGAGCAGATCGAACGCACAGACTGAGCGCCGAGCGGGCGCGCGCGGGTCTCAGGCGCGCCAGGGGGTCTCTTCACCGGCCTCGCTGACAGGCCTCGGAAGTCTGGGCGGGTCGGGTTTAGTTGTTTTTTTTTTTTTTGGTGCTGTTTCTGGACCTGGAAACGCTTCCTAAACGTGTTTTCCATGTGACTTTCCAGACGCAGCCGCCAGCACCAGGGCAGGTACGCCTTGCCTCCCCCAGGCGGTGCAGCCACGCCTCCCCACCGACCCCGGCCGGACCCTTGAAATCGGTAGCCGGGACCGCTACCTCGTAATGCGAGCTCCTCTGGGTTGCACTTACCTTCACTTTATGGAAGGGAATCTGCATGCGCTCACCGTAAGGAACACCCAAGATCACAGAGACTAAATGATGAAGTTCTTCGAGTTTCTAGCCAGATCAGACTGATGGCACCGTGCGTCCTCTCTTACACTTCCTGGAAATACAAGTTTCCTTTAACTCCCCCGGAATCTTACTCAAACCCGACTGCTGTGTTTCTGTATGAACACAAACACGTTGTTTTTAAAGAATAGTTTCACCATGAAAGTAATCTACCCGTCTTGTATAAAAAAACAAAAAAAAAACACATGGAAATGTTTTGAGTGCGTTCTTTTCTTTACATTGAGCTAGATTTAGTGTCCCTTAAAAAATGATCAGGAGGGGCTGGGAAGGTGGCTCAATGGTAGAATGCTTGCCTTGCATGCATGAGGCCCTGGGTTCGATTCCTCGGTACCACATAAGCAGAAAAGGCTGGCTGTGGCTCAAGTGGTAGAGTGCTAGCCTTGAGCTGAAGAGCTGAAGGACAGCACCCAAGCCCAGAGTTCAGGCCCCACTACTGACAAAAAAGAAAAAAGAAATGATCTGGAGCCAGGCGCCAACAGCTCACACCTGTAATCCTAGTTACAACCCGGGCAGGAAAATATGTGAAGCACTTATCTCCAATTAACCACCTAAAAGCTGGATGAGGAGCTGTGGCTCCATGTACAGCGTTAGCCCTGAGTCAAAAAAGCGCAGTGACTGTCCCAAAGCCCTGAATCCGAAAGTAGGATGGAAGGTGAAAGGAAGAATGAAAAGGAAAGAGGAAAAAAAATCACTATTAGAACTGTAAGCCTGTGCAGTGGTGATACACTCCTGTAATGCCAGCTGCAGAAGAGAAGGCCATCTTGAGGATCAGCATTTGAGATCAGCCATGCAAACAGTTAGGACCACATGTCTTGAAAAAAGCTGGCAGTATGACTCAAATGATAGTTGCAGGCTTTGAGTTCAAACCCCATACCACCAAATTTTAAAAAAGAAGAAGAAAATTACATATCAAGTAAATCGCCAGATACAATTTTTCCAATAAGCATTTGAAGTAATTGTGATAATGGTTTTATTTTTGTTTGTTTTTGCCCATCAAATGAAATGGTTTGTGAACCACGAAAGGGAAAGTCATAACACCATCTGTGGTTCTTTTGTCAGATAAGTCAGATAAGTATGCTTGACTCTATGCTAGTTGCCTTGTTTTTGTTTTGTGGTCTTTTCTAGCTGCCCCCCACCTTCCCCAGCTGAGAACTGAACTTGGTGTACACTTACCAGGCAAATGCTCTTCCACAGAATTAAATCCCCAAACCCAAGACTCCATTCTATTCCTGCCCCCCATCCGCAAATGGCCCATACCCTGGGAAAACAATTGGAGTAAACCAGGATAGGCAGAGGATCAAATGCAGGTATATGCCTTCATTCTTGAGACAGACTCTACACAGTAGCAATCAGGACAGCCCTCAGGTTCATGAGACCTACTACCCCACTCTAATTATTGGTTAAGACCCCAATTCTCAATACCAGTCTTTATCCAAACTACCTACCTCCCCCACTTTCCTAATAAATCACTCTGTCTTCCTATTCTTCCTGGTTCTTTTGCTGCACCTGGGGCCATGTCCTCACCTCAGGCATTGTCCCCAAGAGCCCAACCTATCTGCCAACCACTATTAATGGTTCTCATTATATTGTCTAGGGACCACTGAGGCTTTCCAAGGAACCATCTAGACAAAACTATTTTCATCATAATACAAGAAGCTTCATTGATAATTTTACTTTTTTTTTTTTTGGTCAGGCACTGGCAGCTCATGCCTGTAATACTAGCTACTTAGGAGGCTGAGGTCTGAGGATTGTAGATGGAAGCCAGCCGGAAAGTCTGTGAGACCCTTATTTCCAATTAACTACCAAAAAAGCTGGAAGTAAGCAGTGGCGCTGTAGCTCAAGTGGTAGAGCGCTATCCTTGAGCTGAAGAGCTCAGGGATAGCACCCAGCCCCACAGTGGGGGGGGGGGCCCTTGGCTCAAATGGTAGAGCACTAGCCTTGAGCACAAAAGCTCAGGAAATTCAAGCCACTGGACCAGTTAAATAGATAGATAGAAAATGTTACTTTCTATAGCATACAATAATTGTACAAAGGGGGATTTCACTATGACATTTCCACATATGTATACAATATATCCTGATCAACCTCATCCCTTCTATGACTCTCCAATACTCTTCTACTTAATAAATTTTAGCAATTTCGTTGTACTAATTTCATACATGTAAACAGACTACTTTGAAATTTATTCCACTTCATCTTCTTTGTTAGTGTGTATTAATTATACAAAGGGGATTCACTGTATCTTTTTTCTCCCCCAACATTAAGACTTGAGTTCATTGTCTGACACTTTCACCAAAGGCTTGGTGCTCAACTACATGAGCTATGCCTCCAGCCCTGTCATTTTTTAGAAAGTGGTTTTGGTCTTTTTTTTTTTAAAACTTCTGGTTGTTCTACAGTTGAACTCGGGGCCTTATATTAATAGGTAGGTACTCTTACCACTTGAGCCACACTCCTAGCTTTCCTTCCCCAGATCTCTTATTGGAAACTTTTCCAGAGTAATTACAATGTGATCACCTTTATAATAGCAATAAAAATAATTAAAATGTGGAAAGCTTAAGAAGCCAGTTTTATTCCATTAAGCCACATTGAAAAGATGTGCGTCCGTGGATCATACCTGTAATCCTAGTCAGGAAGCTGAGAGCTAAGGATCGTGTTTCAACACCTGGGCAAGAAAGTCCATAGCACTGTGTTTGAAAGTGATAGACCACTAGCCTTGAGCTCAAAAGTTCAGGTATAACACCTAGGCCCTGAGTTCAAATACCAAAAAAAAAAAAAAAATGTTGCCCTTCTTATTAAAAATAGCTATTTTAGATAGGGAAGGTGGCTCAGTGGTAGAGCGCTTGCCTTTCATGCATGAGGCCCTGGGTTCAATTCCTCAGCACCACATAAGCAAAAAGAAAAAAGCCGGAAGCTCCAGTGGTAGAGCGCTAGCCTTGAGCTGAAGAGCTGAGGGACAGTGCCCAGGCCTAGAGTTCAGGCCCCATGGCTGGACCTAAAAAAAAAAAAAAAAAAAACTATTTTAATTTTTTAAAAAAGTGTGATGTTTATTTTTACAATATTTTTAAGTTGGGTCTGGGAAGGTGGCCCAGTGGTAGAGTGCTTGCCTCCATGCATGAGGTCCTGGGTTCGATTCCTCAGCACCACATAAACAAAACCAGAAGTGGTGCTGTGACTCAAGTGGAAGAGTGCTTGCCTTGAGCACTCAGGGACAGCGCCCAGGCCCAGAGTTCAAGCCCCACGAATGACATAAACAAACATATATATATATATATATATATATATATATATATTTAAGTTAATGTTTAGAGTAGAGACACACTTATGATCCTAATCCTATCTGGGCAGGAAAGCTCATGAGTCTTCTATAGTGTACTTCCAAAAGGTCAGAAGTGAGTGGTAGCTCAAGTGATAGAGTGCTAGCCTTGAGCAAAAAAGCTTAGGGACAGTGCCCAACCCCTGAGTTCAAGCTCCAGGACCTGGACACACACACACACACACACACACACACACATGCGCGCGCGCACGTGCATGCGTGCATGCACATTGTTTAGAAATTTATCAGATTTGTGCTATAGTTCACATTTTAAAAATCTTTGAGAAACTCAATATAACAGTATATAAACATTCTGATACTGCAAAGTTTGACAACCATTCTATAGATCTGTCCTGGACAATAACAATACAAATTTTCTCACAAGCCAAAAACTTAAGTCAAAATCTAACTCAGAAAGGAGTATTACTTATAAAAGCAACTGACAAGAAACTGGAAAGGCTAAAACTGACACTTGAAGAAATCTGATTAATTAAAAATGATCATGAGGTAACCAATTTATAACTAGATACTGGAAAATTAGACTTAAAGACAAGACCATTTAAATGAATTTTCCCTGATAGTTTGTAATAAAATTGATCTTACATTAATTTCAATGAACAGGTCATGATGAGAATTAAAATCAGTTTAAATCTTCTGTGTGGCAATTTATTGAGGTACTAAATTGTTTTAATTAGCAAGGATAATAGTTTTTACATGAAAATTCAGAAATTTTGTGTAATTTATGTTATATTAATAATACCAGAGTCAAAATGTCAAGGAGAAAATTTCTACTATGTTCAAATAGAATATGTCTTATCCTAAAAGGAAGCCTCCCACAGATTTAAAAATAAAATTTTTGGCAGTATCAGGCTCTGTGTTTGCTCAGCTTCCTTGTTACTTGCTAATACCTCAGGCACTCTTACCACTTAAGCCACACCTCCAGGCCCAATGGTCTTCCACTAGATTCTATCCCAATGGCTGTACAATCTCCCTCTTAGGGCTACCAGCTGGTGACCAAACCTATTGCATATGGGACTGCAGAGTATACTTAGGACTCAGTCTATAAGAATGGACTCAGGAACATCTGTCTCCCTGGTGGTGGTGGTAGTGGTGGTGTGACAGCCTTAAAAGTCTAGTTAAGAAAGAATTTTTTTTTTAACAAAAC